TGGTTTGGAGTGGCCTCATTGACTTGGCGCATTACCTTGACACTGACTGCAGCATGCTGGTGATTCAGCTGTTGATGTGTTGGTGTTCCATATCTGACAGTTACAGTTTTCTTCATAGGAACATATAAAGAATGATCATAGTGTGTATTCAGAAATTTTTTAAAATGTGGTAAAGTAATACATAACATAAAATTTACCATCTTAACTATTTTTTAAGTTTACAGTTCAGCAGTGTTAAATACATCTACATTTTTATGCAAGGCATACAAACTTTTAAAAAGTTACTTTGAATAATTTTAGATTTACAGAAGTTAAAAATAATACAAAGCTCCTGTATATCTCTCATACATTTCTTACATTTGTCCAAGTCTAAGAAACCAACTTTGGTACATTTCTATAAATTCCACACTTTACTCACTATATTTTCCACTAAAGTCCTTTTTCTGTTCCAGGACCCAATCCAGGATACCACATTATATTTAGACATAGTTTTTAAAAGTGAAAATGCTTCAGCTAGAATTATCAGCTAATTCTGCATGTGCAAATTATCATAATGACTGGAAGTTATTGAATATTTTCCTTTCCTGTTGCTTAGTTCTGTAATTTGTTAATATATAAGTAGCTGTTGAAAGTCAAGAGATTTTAATTTTTACAGAAAATAATGTTGAGTTTCCATGAAGAGCAGGAAGTGTTGCCAGAAACTTTCCTTGCCAACTTCCCTTCTCTGATAAAGATGGATATTCACAAAAAAGTAACTGACCCAAGCGTAGCCAAAAGCATGATGGCTTGCCTCCTGTCTTCACTGAAGGCTAATGGTGAGTACTTATTTATAGAGTTGCTGGTGTTTGGGTTAGGTGGAGACAGGACCATATATAAAGATAAAAAGAAAGAAGTTCATTATAGTGAATTTACATTTTCTTCCTCACCATTATGGTTTGACTTTTGAATTATTAGTTGTGTAAGAATTGCATGTATATTAATCATTGAAAAATGCTGCCTTTTTTATACCATCGATGCTTATTTTGAGCCCCAGTTAAATAAGCGAACATGAGGTTATATTTATTTTGCCAGGAGACTCATAAATGATAGTTGAAAATTAAACTTCAGGGAGAAATTTCATTTAGGAATGCAGAATTGCCAATTTTTTTGAGTTTATGTGAAAACTTTCAAAAATACTTTGTTTTACATTGGTGGTATGAAAACTATCTGTGAAGAGCCAGATAGTAAGTATTCTAGGCTTTAAGGGCCACATACAGTTTCTTTTGCATATTCTTCCTTTTAAAAATCTAAAAACAGTACAAAAGTGGGCAGCTCGTTGAGCCTTAGAGGGTTGTTGATAGATGAGAATGCTTTTATTGTTGCATTTTTACATTTGAATCAGTGGTGTCCCTTCATGGGATAATTTAAACAACTGAAGAAAGCGTAATTTTCAGTGTTGTGCTTGGAACTGAATCATGCAAAGGGGTACTGTGAGGTCTGTCTTAAGTGTGTACAACATAGTATGGTTATGTTGGCTTATGACATGGGCTGGAATAGGCTCTGCCCTGTGAGCCCCTCAAAAGTACTTTATATTAAAACATCGAACAGAGGTATTTTTTGCTTTGAGGTTTTTTTGTTTTTTTTTTAACTTAGGTATAATTGACAGTTAAGAATTGTGTAAATTTAGGGTATAGTTTGATTTGAAATAGCAAAAGAATGATCACATTCAAGTTAGTTAACATGTCCATCATTTAAGATAGTTACCACTGTCGTATTCAATATTGATGATATTAATGCTGATTGAATTCACATGCATTTTAAAAATTGTAGCATGAGATTTAGGGATTGACATGCGCAAGCTCCTTCTAGGATCTGTTTGGAAAATATTAAAGATTAGTCACAATTCATATCCATAATTCTAATTAAGTGACACTTACATTTTGATATTTTATTTCTAGGCTCCCGGGGGGCTTTCTGTGAAGTGCGACCAGATGATAAAAGAATTCTGGAATTTTACAGCAAGTTAGGCTGTTTTGAAATTGCAAAAATGGAAGGATTTCCAAAGGATGTGGTTATACTTGGTCGGAGCCTGTGACGTTTGTTGGAACCATGAACTGTTGGAAAGTCTCTTAACTTCACCTGGCGGGTGGTGGTTGGGGTCTTCATACAGTTCAGCCTCTGGAGTGGCAACAGATCAGCCGATTGGGATTGGAAACAAAGAAGACTATGTAAAACTCACATATCGTACTTTGAGACTACTCACTGGTTGGAATAAGATAGTATTGCTACAAATTCTGTAAGAAACAGAGATGTGGGCCTCCTTTTTGGGTCTTGTGTTAGGTGCCAAGACCTCTTACATGAGCTTATAGGGAGGGCGTCTCCAATAAATGTAGTCAGCACTGTTTTCTGCATCCAGTGTTGTTGCATTTCTCACCTAAAAGTTTTCAAAATTATTTGTTGTCATCCTAGGCTTATTGAATGAAATGTCTCATTTTTGAGGGGACATGGCAGAGATGAGAAAGTGGGTTTCAGAGGCTTCAGGATGGAAATTCCAAGCGGGATGGTTGTGGCATAGTTTAAGCTGAATAAATGATTTCAATTTGGGGCAGTTTTTCTGCTTTTTGTAAAGCCATGGCCAATTGTCTCCTGTAGTGACAATTGGTTCAGGCATGTTGTGCTTCGTAGGGACAAATGTGCAGTTGTTAGTGGCAAAAGCCTAAAAAAGATAAATTTGTAAATTTTTTGTATATAAACTAGCTGTGATCTGAGTACCTTTGTGTTTACTGTTTTTGTAATTTTTCATTTCAAAAATGCAAGGGTTTGATTTCAGGATGGCACTTTGAATAATGTAAATCAGTGGAAGATGGATTTTCTTTCTTTCTTTTTTTTTTTTTTTTAGTTTCATTATTTTTAAAGTGCCTCCCACCTAGTTCTAGGCTGTGGCCATTTTGGGTATAAGAGTCTAATTTGATAGGACTCAATTTGTTGCAAGTGCAGTCACTTAGAAGTTAACCTCAGTGCAGGTCAGCATGTGAAATGTTTATTTTGATATCTGTAGTAGGGTTCAGGGACTGATTGGTCCTATTTGCCCTCAGATCAGTTGTCCTTTAATTTCAAGACCTGTTACTACTGGTTTTAATAAATTAGAGTCTTTTATTCTTGCATGTTTTTATCTAATTTTTAAAAGAATGAGCACACTAACCAGTGATTTAATGGTTACCCTTTTTTCCCCCCCTTTTAACCACAGATTCTGAAAGCTTCATGTATTTTAATTTAGATTTGGTATTTTTTAAGGGTTCTGATCATGAGGCTAGCAAATATCTGCAGGATTTATTTTTTTTCATCATGGCTGGCTGACTTCATAGATTCTTAACAGTATTTGTTACCTTGCTTCCCTGCAGTTTTGTATCAGCTGTTTAACTTTGGGCTGAGGAGGAAAAGGGCAAGGAGAAGGAAACTTAAAATATATTTTATTTCATAGAGTTCCATCAGTGTGGGCTTTGAGAGAGTCTCAAGTGGTATCTAGTGACTTTCAACCAAGGCCTGGGAGTGTGCACTGAATGGGTGAGATGAAGGGAGGGAAGGAAGGAAGACCTCATTTTTAACATATGTATCTTTTACTGATAGGAACCAAGTTTGCATTTTCAAGGGCTGAGGTGTAAAAGGATTGTCTCTACAGGATAATTGTTTTAAATGGCTTCATGTCACTTAGGTTTTAAGTACACTTCATAGACTAGTGGACAATTCTACCATTTTTATCTGGAGGATTTCAGGGTCAACCTATGGAATCAGGATTTTTAGCAAGTTTGCTTGTGACTTCTTGGCTTTTAATAATCACTTTGGCTGGTCTTCTGGTCACAGATGCTTAACTGAAACAGATGTCCAGGCGTATACCTTCATTACTCTAGGATCATAAAGTACTGTGCTATCTTCTATGGTTATGAATATTTATTAAGGTTGGAATGACATTTCATTGATTGTTTAGATCACAGCTCAGTTCCTGTAGAAAATGAACTGTAAAACTATCTGAAGACCATGCAAGAGGCAAAATAAAACTTGAAGTGAATGTATATGGTGGTGTACTGTGTAAACCTACTTACTTCCTGTTTCTGCCTACCCTTTCTCCTCTTCATGCTTCACAAGCAAGTAGTCCTCTATAGTTGTTCCAAGTTAGGGACTGGTTCTTCAAGGTAGCCCTCTCCCACTCCTATCTCCAGTAAAAGAATTTCGGGTTTTCCTTAAGGCAAGGCAAAAGGTAAAAGACTGATTCTTGGCTTAGCCATCCTCCCAGTTACAACCTGAGTTAAGGCAAATAGTTTTCCCATCAAATAGAATAAGGAACACGATTTGCTTGGTTCTTTGGTCTGATGGTGAAAGATGGGGAGTAACTCAAATTATGAGACATTGGCGTCCAAAGCGGAAGTGTGTGCCTGGGTTGATTTGGAATTACAAGCTCCAGAGCATGCATCTGCCAGTTAGTCCTCTGCTAGCAAGTACCATTATCCACCCAGTCAGTGAAGATAGCCATCTGGATAGTAGCAGGGTCGTTAAAGCAGGAAGCATATCTAGGAGAGGATGGTTTGGGTACAAGATAGCTGTAGCTGAAAGCCTTCAGGCTTTCTTGCCTTAATTAGGGAAAAAAAGGTTGCTACCCTGAAACTCACCTTTGTTGGGGGATTTGGAAAGGTTTCCATTTTTTATCTAGTCTCTTCTCGAAAGCTTTCCTTGGATTGGGAGGATGGGAGACACTAGAGGGTGAAAGGTACTAAAACTAGGTAGGAGCCACCCTGAGAGAGCCACGGGTCATTTTAATGAACAAGGACGAGAAGATGAATTTCAAGTCCAAGCTTTTCTAATGTTACTTCCTATTTGCGGTCTCACACACAGGTCTCAGACCTGCGTGCTCCTGGGCTAGGCTAGAGGAAGCCCTGGACCCGCCCAGAGGCTCAGTCTTCTCACTCTGTGGCGACGGACCGGCTCCTTTAATAGGCGGAGCCAGAACAGGCCGGAGTCCCGGGCTTTGTACGTGTCGGAGGCGGAGTTCCGAAGCGGTCCTTGCAGCATGGCCGCCGGAGCCACCGCCGCCTTGGCGTTCTTGAGCCGGGAGAGCCGAACCCGGGCTGGGGGCGTTGGGGGGCTGCGGGCCCCGGCTCCGGTTACTATGGACAGTTTCTTCTTCGGTATTAAGAAAGGAGGGGATGAGGGTGGTCCTGGAGTAGTAAGAGACTGGCTGAGCAACAGGAATGCAGATGGGTGCACTATGTGGGTGAGGGTACAGGGGGATCGCACACAGCAACTGGACTAGAAAGCAGAACAAGATCTCTGCCTCGTGCGGAGCGGGGCCCAGGGCTCAGCGTCCCAGGTGTTCTGGAGGAGTGGGCATGTAGATGGCGGTCAGTCTATGGCTACACGTGGTGGAACTTTAGTGACCCCCTCATCTAAACACTCATACACTCACACTCAGGTGCATTCACACTGTTCTCTCTTCCAGGCTGTGAGCTCTCTGGCCACACTCGCTCTTTCACCTTCAAGGTAGAGGAAGAGGATGATGCAGAGCACGTGTTGGCTTTGACCATGGTGAGGGGCCTTGAAGGTGGGGGGTGGTGAATAGCTGGACTTAAGCAGCCATATGATGAGCCTCTACCTGTCCTCCCCTCCCCCCCTTTATTGTGAACCACCTCTTCTCTTCTGCCCAAGCCCCCTCATGGGCGGCTCCCTTGGCTAGGTGATCCAGGGACTCCTGAGCTGGGCAAGTTCTAGGGTAAATGCGTCCACTATGATGTTAACCTTTGCTTGGAGAGATCCTGAGGCCCTGTGTACCCTTCCCAGCTCTGCCTCACAGAGGGGGCTAAAGATGAGTGTAACGTGGTAGAAGTTGTGGCTCGGAACCATCACCACCAGGAGATTGCAGTCCCTGTGGCCAACCTCAAGTTGTCCTGCCAACCCATGGTGAGTTCCTTGGCCTTACCTTGGAGGAGGGTGGAGCAGTAAGGAATGGAAGACTTAAGGGCTCATCACAAGATGGAGTGGGCCAAGCCTTCACCTTTGTCTTCCTCCCAGCTCAGTTTGGATGACTTCCAGCTCCAACCACCTGTAACCTTCCGCCTGAAGTCAGGTTCTGGCCCTGTGCGGATCACTGGGCGGCACCAGATTGGTAAGAGTTCTCTCCTTTGCCTCCAGTGGACCCTCATCAGGTTTCCTCCTATTCCACACTCTTGGGCAATCCCAGCCTTAGCTCTCACGGTAGCTCCCATACAGGTGTTGCATGATTTGCCCTCTACTTTCTGTCCTACTCAAGCCTATCCTTCATGGAACCTGTCCCAGCTTCTCTAGCTCCAGTGATGTAGACTCTTTTGGCTCTTTGTCAACCAGTTTAGTATCTGAGGCACTTCCCACCTAGGCCATAAGCTCTGGGAGGTCAGGGTCCCTGTAAGCCTAGCACCACAGTGCACAAATAAATGACATGTGATATAAAGAAGATCTGGCTCTAACTTTTCCCTTTACTACTTGTGTGTACACCAGTTACTGTAAGCAATGATGTTTCTGAGGAGGAAGAGAGTGAAGAAGAGGGGAGTGAGGAGGAGGAAGCTGAGTTGTGCCCCATCCTGCCTGCCAAGAAGCAGGGGGCCAGGCCTTAACTCTCCTTGGTGAGTGGGAGGTTGGGGTGCCCACAGGATCTGGGAGGCCTGGAGGAGCAGGTGTGGGCCTGATGCTGACCCTTTTTTTTTTTTTAAACTTTCCTCAGGTTAGCTATCACCCTGCCACACATGCTGTGCACCACGTTGCTGTACAAGTGCCAAGAGTTTTAAACGTCTTCTCCACTGAAGAGGAGGGGTGGGGTGGAGAGTCTTGGGCTGGTGCTAGGAGAGAGGGGGTCCCATTCTCCATAGGGTCCTGGTATTCTAATCCTATACCATGCCTGGGGCTTCCATTTTTTCTGGGAGTAGGAGGAACTCTGAACTTCTGACCCTCTCTCCCCCTATGATCAGCATATGAAGCTCAGGACTACACATTTTTAAATTCTTTTTACATTTTTGGATAAGTGTTGAAATAAAGTAGCTTTTTTGCAGCTTATTTGTGTGGTTTCTTTTTCTACGGGGGTGGCATTCCCCTAGAGACCACCAGGTGGCACTGTGACTGCACTGAGGGTCGCCTGGGGCCTAGGGGAGGGTGAGGAAATGTGGGATCCCAGTATCCCCAGGACTCTGGGGCCAGGCCAGGCCTAGGCCTGATCTGCCTTGCTAGAGGAGGACCTCCCAACACCAAGCCCATTCCCAGCCCCTTCAGGTGGGGGAGGGCCATACCAGGAGGTTATCAGCATCCAAACAAGGGGTCTGGGCCTCTGTCAGCACTCAGGCTGATGGGCAGGGGGGCAGATAAGGGGGCTTAAGCAGCCCGAGGAATGTGCATCTCTAGCCCCATGAGTGGGCTCAGGGTAGGGCGGAAGCCAGTCTTTGCTCCTCCTTCCAGTCTTGCAGGCTGTCTCTGAGCTGGTCTGGGCCCTTAGAAACCTGATTCCAGGGGCCAGATGGAGAGGACTGGCCATATTGGGTGACAGGGAAACCAGAATCTGGGTGGCCTGGCATATGGGGGCAGAGAGGGGCCCCTGGGATTCAGCCTCCTGGGTTAGGGGATTCCTATCCCCAGCAGAATTCCTGGTCTTGGGGGTGGAGAGTCTCTGGTGCCTGGAATCAGGTGGTTTGGGGGCTTGGCCTCTACTATGCCAGGAGGAGAAAAGGATGTACCTGGTGTGAGCATGAGTGTGTATGTGACCAACTCTGGGGTCAGCAGTTCAGCAGCTGTGTTGATGGCGGGGCCGGTGGGGGGGGTCCTCAATGCCCCACAAACAAGCAAACAAAAGGTTACCTCCTGAGACAGCCTGGGGCCAGACATGCTGAGGATGGACAGAGAACAGTGCCTAGTGGGGTCAGGCCCACTCCCTCCCACACAGGCTGCTGGGCAAGTGGGCAAGTGGGAGGGTCCCTAGGTAACCTGAAGGGGCTGGTATTGGGGGAGGGGATGTAAACTTTGGAGAGTATCCCCACAACACGATAAAGCACTCCCTCTTTAACACATCCCTAGAGGAGGTTCATCCCTCCCTGTGGTCAGGAGCAAAAGTCCAGTTTTTAATCTCCCTTTTTCCTTAATGTGAGGATAAAGGAAGATGATCTTTCTGTGTTGCAATGATTAGGGTAGCAGTCCTCTTTGTCCTCTCCAGAAGGACTTTCCCGAAATGCTTCCACTGGGAACCAACAAGGTGTAGGGGCAGCCAGGCTTGAGACCATTCACCTTTCCGCGTCAAGCGGTCTGGAAGGAGGGGGAAGGGGGGCTGGCGCCCTCTGGTGGGCGAGGTTGAAACGGCCTCTGGCTGTGCAGCTACCTACCCCACGCCGCCTCTCTAGGGGCTCTAATCTTGCAGGAGCCCACGTGCCCAGCGAGTGGTCTGGGCCGCCGAAGTTTAGGTGGAAGGTGAGGGAGTAAGTTACTGAGGCCGACTTCATTCGTTCATTCAGTCATCATTCACTGAAAGGGAGAGTGCTTTCCTTCCTCTCGCCTATAGCCTCCAAAGTCGGCACGTGCGTGGTTGGAGGCGAGCGAGACCCACTGGGTGCACGGAATGGTCACCTCGGGGGAAGCAGACTCAGTATCCTCTGCGCGTGGCCCCGCCTCAATATCTACCCATCGCGCTGCCGCCGACGGCTCACTGTGTGCCTTGACTGTGGTCTTGGTGGTCTCCCCGCAGCCCGGGCCCGCGCAGAGCGCGCTGCTGCCCGCAGTGGAGTCCCAGTCCACATCTGCCCCTTCGCCCAGGAGTTTTCTGACCCGACCAGTCGCCCCGGGGACAGAGCTGGGAATTGTTTTTTTCCCCTCTGGTCCCCCGTCTCTCCTCGATCCCCCTTTCTGCCCCTTGGCACACAGTAAGAGCGCTAAAGGATGAAGACATACGCCAGGGTCTGCAGACTGCTGAAGGAAGGGCAGGCCTGTATTTGAGGGGTGAAGGGAGACGACCTCGAACGGGTTCCCAAAGTGCTTAACACAATCTCGACGATTTGCATTTGAACGATCCGCGGAGAGTCCGCGGCGCTTTGAACGCCGGGCGCAGGAGGCAAGCAGTGGAACAAGCTGCAGTACCCGCGGCCGGTGCCGGCTGGTGTGGGCCCGAGGGTGAGGGATGCGTTTGCAAAGAAGCTGAAGATGTGTGTTTGGGTCCCCGTGAGGGCGTGTTTACGGAGAGGCTGTTTATGTTGGTGAGAAGTGTGTGTTTGTGTTTGCAGGAGGTGAAGGGGTGTGTGTGTGTGTGTGTGTGTGTGTGTGTGTGTGTGTGTGTGTGTTTGTAGAGTGTGGGGGCGGCCGGGAAAGGTGGCCGCGCTGTCACTCAGCGATCAGGTTGACAGGCGCTCGCTCATCAGGGCCAGGGAGCTCTGATTGCAGATTCGAGGAAACAAAATAGCAATTGTAATTACGGGCTTTGATAAGATAAAGGAAGGAGCGAGCTGGTCGGGAGGCCAGCCAACGAGCTAGAGAGGGAGAGACTGGCCTGTGGGGGCTCCTAAGGAATATTTGCATCTGTCACTCACAGGGCTTGCCTAGTCAGTACTCTGGTCCTGATGCTGGTGGGTCCCCATCAGCCCCTCTCTAAAGACAGGACTTTTTGGGAGACGAATTTCACCAACCTGACAAAAATTCAGTTCAGAGAAAATTCTCCAAATGTATAGGAATTCTGGTCCTGTAGAAACCATTGGAAAAGGTTAAAGTGTAGGACTGAAACCCTGGCCTCCATGCTTTTATGCCCCAGGATGGCCATCTTCTCTGGGGAAGAGAGAGGACGGTGGATTAAGATTACTGAGGTTCAGCCCAGGGACTTCAGAACCCTCTGGGGACTCCAGAATGGGTTGGACTCTCATCTGAGCCAGATGCTTTGGCTTCTACCCCACTCCAGAGAAAGACAGGTGCCCTTTGGTTGTGACTCCAGGACTATGCATACTAAGGGTGGACTGGATGTCTTGACCCTTGCTTTGGTCCTGCTCCCTGCTGTTCTCATTAGAGTATTTTCAGAGGGCTGGGTCCCTGGTGGGGAGAAGGCCCTTTCCATCCTCTGCTCTTCATCTTTCCACTCATTTATTCATTAATGCACACAAATAAACTTTTTCAAGGGTCTACTAAGTGCAGGCACGAGGTTAAGATGGTGAGAATCCTGCCTGCTTCAAGCAGTGCAGCTGGGGAGGTAGTCAGTCACTCAACAGGTGATCCGTAGGCCTCTAAGAGAGAAGAGCACAATAAAGGGCTAGGCTGTGGGCACTGAAGCCCACCTCACCTGTTACTCTGTCTAATAGACCCACTTCCCAGTGGGGCTGAGAGAAGACACTACAAGCCCAGCTTTTAGCAAATACAAATGCTCGATAAATGGTGGGGCTTATTATTATTATCTATTGGGGCAAGGGGATGAAGGCAAGTCTCCCTGGGGAAGCCACACTTGGGCTGAGGTCTAAATGCTCAGCCAGTAACTCCATAACTCACTCATCAAATACTAACTGCGGAACAATCCTGCCCAGCTCTATGCCATGAACAATAGCCTCTTGAAGGGGGTAATAGGGGGGCTCAGGAAATATACTCCTCTGAGGAAGGATGGGATCTCGGGACAAGCTCTCTGATTCTGCTTTCCCATTTGTACATTGGTCAGTGTTAGCATTATGGCTGGAAATGGGGAAAGATAGGGCACAGAAAAAGGAGAGGTAGGCATAACTTGTCTTGCTGCTGGACAAGGGCCTGCCTACTGCCTTTGGCCAACCCCTCCAGCCTAACCCCCAAGGACATGAGTGGGAGAAGACTGGGGCAGGGGAGGTCTTGGGTGAAGGTGGCAGCTGGACCTGACATCAGTGGCTCCACCTGCTTCTCGGAAGTACCTATCCCAAGGCCCATCTCGGCTGCTCCCAAAGAAGCACCAAAGCTCAGGGTTTCTAGAAGCCCTGGGGAGAAGCAATGAGGGGCTGGGAAAGACTTAGACAAGTCCCTACCTCCTCCTTCCGCACTGCCCCCAATCCAAGTTGACACAAAGCATCGGTCCCTGTCTAGTACACAGTAGGTGTGTAAATACCTGTTAAGTGCACAAATAATGGAACTCTGAGAAGAAAAGACTGGCAGCCTGAATTGAAGTCTTTTCCCTAGAGTAGTTATTTTCACTCCTTCTGCCTGTTGCTTTGAGGAGCAGCAGGGACAGGGGCTTCTTGCCAGGGACCTCCGGGCTCTCTCGCATAGGTGGGTCGTGGTTCCTTCTAAGCTTCAGGCCAGTGTGTCTGTGGGTTGCGGGGAGGGCGGGGCAGGGGCGAGGGCGATGGTGATAGTAGGGGCGGGAGGGGGAGAAGGAGACATTTCTCCATCTCAGGGCCTTTTTGGAGACCGAGCGAGACAGGAGAAACCGGCAAGGCGGGGTACTCAGCAGAAAGACGGGGAGTCAGGTCACTTCGCACACGCACTCACTGAGGGAGAGCCGAGCGCAGCCCTTCAGTTCAGTGTCAGCTGCCACTTTCCGCGGGCAGATCCAGCGGGAGCGCACAGTAGGTGGCTCAAAGACCCGCTGGATAGCCTGAGGCGTGCCCCACGGTGGAGCCCCGGCACCTTCCGACTCCCGCGCACCGGCGGTTCAAGAAGCCCTGCGGAGGGTCTCAGGACCCGACCCCATGGAGCGGGCGGCCCGAGGCGCCCCTTATCCCCGCATGTCCAGACCCCAAGAGCGCGCGCGGGGACAGGCTGGGGATGGGGGAGGCGCCCACCCTGG